ATCCGAACGTGGCAGTACATCGTCTTAATATTAAACCGGATGTCAAACATGTCAAACAATAACAAAGACGGTTTCGTCTGCAAATGATGGAAGCAATCGAGGCCGAAGTTAAGAAGCTTATTGACTCGGGCTTCGTTCGGGAAGAGCAGCATCCGGAGTGGCTTGCCAATATTGTCCCAGTCCTTAAGAAGAACGGGAAGGTCAGGATTTGAATCGACTTTCGAGGCCTCAACACTGCATGCCCAAAAGACGATTTTCCCCTTCCTATCACGGATGTCATCATCGACAATACGTGCGGGTTCGAAAGGATGTCTTTCATGGATGGTTTCTCTGGTTATAACCAAATAAAGATGCATCCAGATGATGAAAAGCATACCGCGTTTAGAACACCCCTTGGCGTTTTCTGCTACACGGTCATGCCCTTCGGTTTAAAGAACGCATGTGCCATGTACCAAAGAGCCATGTCGAAGATTTTTCAGGAGCATCTCCGGAAGACTATCGAGTCCTACGTGGATGATTTGGTTGTGAAAAGTCGTGATAAGAAGGATCACATTAAAGACTTGAAGACCATGTTCGACCTGATGCGAGCCCATCAATTGAAGATGAATCCTACCAAGTCTTTCCTCGGAATGTCCAGTGGTAAATTCCTGGGATTTGTCGTCACCACCAAAGGTATTCACATCGACCCTGATAAGGTAAAGGCAATTAATGAATTGCAACCTCCAAGAAATCTCAAGGAGCTCAGAGGATTGCAAGGGCGGTTAGCTTATATCCGTCGGTTCATCTCAAACCTCTCAGGAAAATGCCAACCGTTTTCCAAGCTCACAAAGAAGGGCGTATCTTTTGTATGGGATGACGCTTGTCAAAAGGCATTCGAGAGTATTAAAGAATATCTCTCAAAACCTCCTGTACTCGTCGCACCGAAATCGGGCAAACCGTTCTTGATTTATGTCAAGGCGACGAGCCACTCATTAAGTGCATTACTTGCACAAGATGACGATAACGGTCATGAGCAGGCAGTATATTATTTGAGCCGAACCATGGTAGGCGCCGAATCTCGATATCCTATGATTGAGAGAGAATGCCTCGCCTTGGTGTTCGCTATTCAGAAGATGTGGCATTATCTGGTCGGGCAGACCATTTATGTCATCTCTAAAGTTAATCCGGTCCGAGTGTTCATGACTCAACCAGCTTCCATGAATTGGCGTTTAGCAAAATGGGCCTTACTCTTATCCCAATATGACTTACATTTTAAACAACAGAAGTCAGTAAAAGGACAGGCCATCTGTGATCTCCTGGCAGCTAATCCAACTACGGACACCGCCGAGATATATGACGACCTACCCGATGAAACCCACGAAGTCAACACAACTTCGCACCAGCAAGTATGGCGTTTATACTTCGAAGACGCTTCACGAGCAACTAATGTAGCAAGTGCTCCTAGAAGTTCTAAGATTTCTTCCGGAGTTGGAGTTGTCTTAGTTTCCCCAGGAAAGCACGTGATGCCTCGAGCTTACTCGTTGACCGAAACGTGCTCAAATAATGTAGTCGAATATAATGCATTACTCATAGGACTCAGTTTCGCCAAAGAACTGGGGGTTGAGTACCTCGAAGCCTTCGGCGATTCTCAACTGATAGTTAAACAAGTTCAGGGAGAGTACGAGGTCCGAAGCCAAGATTTAATACCATACCATAAGATGGCAGTGGAGATGGCAGAATCATTCGAAGGATTCTTTATCGAACATATTCCACGGCTACAGAATACCTACGTAGACGCGTTAGCAGCATTAGCCGTATCACTGGCGCAGCCTCCTGAAACAGAACAGTTCGTTACGGTAAGGACCCACCAACTCCTAGTGCCGATCTATGATGAAGAGGACGAAGAAGAAGAGATTAAGGAAACACACTCAACCCAAATTGAGTTTGGACCCCGAGATTGGCGTTTCCCCATCATCGATTACGTCTTGCATGGAATCCTACCAGAGGATATGAAGGAAAGAGAATCAATCCGACGAAGGGCACCAAGATTCTACTATAATACGGAGAATCGAACGCTATACCGCAGGGGGTACGATGGATTGCTGGCACGCTGCTTATCGACTAAAGAAGCTGAGGAAGTCCTTAGAGAAGAACATGAAGGAGAGTGTGGTGCACACCAACCTGGTCCCAAACTTTATGACCGCATCAGAAGAATAGGGTATTTTTGGCCTTTCATGATGAGTGATGCAGTCGCGTACGCCAGAAAGTGTCAGGCGTGTCAAGTACATGCGAATTATATGCATCAACCTCCGGAGCATTTGCATCCTTCGGTTACGTCATGGCCGTTTGAGACCTGGGGAATGGACATTGTTGGTCCTATAAATCCCCCGTCAGTCAAAGGTGACCGGTTCATCCTAGCAATTACCGATTACTTCTCCAAATGGGCTGAGGCAGTTCCACTCAGAGAAGTTAAAACGAGCAATGTCATTGCATTCATCAAGCACCATATCATCTACCGGCATGGTGTACCAAGACGAATCGTACATGACAACGGTCCTCAATTCGTCAGCAACGCCTTCATCAGGTTTTGCGAAAAGTTTAAAATTCAGGACATCTCTTCGACAACTTACAATCCCACAGCGAATGGACTGGCCGAAGCCTTCAATAAGACTATCGTAAAGATTTTATCAAAACTCATGAAAACTAATAAACGAGACTGGGATGATAAGCTTGGCGCGGCTCTATGGGCATATTGTACCACGATGCGCACGCCGACGGGAGCAACCCCATATTCACTGGTATACGGATGTGAAGCCGTTCTTCCGTTGGAGATTCAAATCCCGTCACTTCGAATTGCCCTCGCAACTCAAATGACGACCGAAGAGCAACATCAGAAGCGCCTTGAAGAACTTGAAAGGCTGGATGAGAAGCGTTTAGAAGCTCAACAACATATCGAATTCTACCAAGCCAGAATCTCCCGAGCTTTCGACAAAAAGGTTCGACAACGGAGTTTCAAAGAAGGGGATTTGGTTCTAGCTGAAAGGCGGCCTATGATCCTTAACTCCAAGAAGAAGGGAAAATTCGAACCCAAATGAGAGGGACCATTCGTAGTGGAGACAGTTTACTCGAGTGGCGCATATCGCCTAGTCACCAAGGACGGCGACCGGCTGATGATGCCAATAAACGGCAAGTTCCTGAAAAAATACTATCCTTAGTATCTTCAGGATAAATAATGTATCGGAAAGTTCCCGGAAGAATACTACATGTGGTATTCTTAGGGATAACCCAGTCATTGTAGAAGTGATGAATAAGAAATCCCCGTTCGAATTCTGAATGTCGGAATATTTCTCCTTATTATCAAAATTCTCTAACTCTTATGAGTTATTTTTGTGAGATGAGATCTAATCCTATGATAGGTTAATCTTTCCTCACCAAACCATCTGCTGATCAAACTAATTGACGGTGGATCCACCAACATTTCCATCTGCCAGTCATTGGCATTTCTCAGACTCAACATGTTAGGTCCTAATCACCTAGCGTTAAAGTCCTTCTCTGAGTGATAATACGAGTTGGCACTTTCTTTGCTACCTGTATTCCACTTTCTTTGCTTTCAGGTCAAACCTATAAAAGTTAGGGCCAAAGCCAAATTCCTCTCTCGATTCCTTCCATGAACGAGAGGTCCACTTTCAATTCGAACAATCAAACCTATAAAAGTTAGGATTGTTCCCGATCTCACTTAGTCAAGCCTACAAATAGTTAGGACTAAGACCGAGTCATTCCTTTTCGATAAACGAAAATCCACCTTTGTCCCCTTTTCCACCAAACCTATAGAAAAAGACACCAAGGTCTAAACTTGGGGAATTTTATCTCAACTCCTAAATAGAGATAAGTCTACGCCTAACACGCGTCGCCGGTTTAGTCTTTCACCGATTGAAAAAGACACCAAGGTCTAAACTTGGGGAATTTTATCCCGAAGCCTAAGTAGGGACGAGTCAACACCTAACACGTGTTGCCGGGTAGCCTATTCCCGTCACAAAGGCGAAGCCTATGTATTCGGCGTCATAGCACAAAGTCTTAGAGAATTCACTCTCTTAGCATAACGTTACATGCGGAACGGATTTAGACAATCCACATGCTAGCCCGATTCAAACGGTAATCGATAAAGGCACATCAAACCCGTTGAAGGCTGGGGGTTTGCCAAAAATCCCAAAGTCTATGTCTAACACGCATTGCCGGTTAGTCTTTGACCGTAAAAAGAATTTTATCCCGAAACCTAAGAAGGGATAAGTCATCGCCTAATACGCGGTGCGGGGTACCTTTTCCCTATAAGAAATGGTGAAGTCTATGCATTCAAAGTCATAGCATCAAGCCTAAGAAAAGCAATTCTCTTAGCACAACGTTACATATGAGGCGGATTTTAATAATTCACATGCTAGTCCGATTCAAACGGTAATCGGTAAAGACATATCAAACCCGTTGATGGCTGGGGGTTTGCCAAAAATCCTGTAAACCTTATCATCGCTGAGTTCAAAATAAATAAAGAAATATCATAAAGGAATCAAATGCAGAGTCTCTATTAATAGATCAAGTCAAAGCATACAATAAAAAGCTCGTTAGCCCGAAGGCAGCTGACGGCTAAGAACATGAGACTCTAAACTAGAAAGCCTATCTATATAACTCTGCTCAAGTTCTGCCTGCAGGCCAGCTCGGACGGATTCTTCAGAACTGCTCAAGATCTTCACGGCTTCATTTTTCAGCTTCATCAATCTCTCCTATGTAGATCCTAGCTTCTCGAGGGCCTGTCCACGAGAATGCTCTACTCTAGCCAGGTCTTCTGCAATGATAGTAATGGACTCCTCGGCGTGCTTCAAGGCCTCCTTCAACCTAGCCTTCCTCGCGGTATCTGTATCCTTCCTCGCCACGGTAGCCATCAGCTGCGCAACTGAATGCTCATGTGACTGAAGCTCACTGCCGATGGAAGATCTCAGGTCACGCCACTGTGCCAGCCTATGTTCCATCTGAGAGGACACGAAGGAAGAAGCTCCATTAGCCTTCAATTCCTTCAACTCTCGGATCTCCGACTCCAGAGCAGCAAAATCGGCAATGAAAGAATCAGCTAACCCCGGATACCCTTCTTCTATAAACATCATCATGTGACGAGAAAAGGAACGCCTGAACTGATCAAAACAATATCCTCGATGAAGCAGTTTCTAGATCATGCCGTTAAAAAAGGCGGTAAAAAAGCCAAGGTCTGTACGGAAAATGTCTCTGTCAGGATCGGTATCGGCCAAGAGGGCGCGAACATGCTCATATAGAGATGATCGAGATCCTACAAACAACAGTATGGAAAGTTAAGAGATTATCGAATACGATAAGAAAATTTAAAGGCAAATTCCGAGCATACCGATGCCAACGGAGGTCCCCTCAGGCTGAGATCCGACAGGTTCCGAAATAACTGCAGGAGTAGTCATGGAGGGTATATCAACCCCTGTAGGCAAATCAGTCATACCTCTCGGCTGTGGCGGGGAAACACCGCTCTCAGGCAAACTATCAGTCCTAGAAACTGTAGTGGCATCAGGCACAACGGCTGGTCCTAGAGTTACATGTCTTTATTAGTCAAAATGAAAATTTGGACAAATAAGGAAAATCAGGATGATAAGATAGTATGCATACCTGCAAGTCCATCGTCCTCAGATGCAAGAGGGATGCCAGAAGTCATAAAGGTATCAGTCCCAGTGGCTGGTCCTATGATTACACCCCTCTATTAGTCAAAAAAAATCAGATAAAAGAAAGGGAACACGACATCCAAATCCTCAACTGGCTTTTCTATCACGACATCTGCAGAATAATTTAAGTGTTGGATATATATACAAGAAGATGGGAAAGAAGGAAAAGCTCAGAAGTACCTGCAGCCGGAACAGAAGATCCTTGTTCCCCAATATCCATGCTTGAGTTCTTCAGGAAATCTGAAAGAATGCGAGGCACAAAAAATAATGAATCCTGATTTCTCTAACTCCGCCAAATGCTACTCGATGAGGGTATCATCGGATTTAGATATACCTGGACATAGAGTGGTGGGCTTGACACTATTAGCCTGCTCGGTGTCAATGTTCGTATCAACACCCAGGGAACCATCCCGAATGGCGTCGCACATTTGCTGCATGAAGTTATCCATATTATCAGAATCAGGGAATACGGGGTCCGGTGGAAGTTCGCCCTCGTCATAGTCCCCTGGAACATAAAACATGATTACGAATCCCAGAAGGTGAGACATCTTAAAGCAATGAAAACGACGAAATGTTACCTTCCTCTCCATCGGCGATGTCTCCTAAATCCACTCCATAGGGACGCTGGCCGACGTGTGGTTTATGAGCAGTCTTCTTCTTCTTCGGAGTACCAGCCCTCATAAAACCAACGGGTCGTTCATGCATGGACTTGCCATGCGTCTCAACATGCGTGGGAGCTTGGCCACTAAGCCTGGATCTCGCATAACGAGAAGCGAGCGACTCATGCTCATCGACTGTCCTACCTGGGGTGATAAGAGTCAGTTCGTTGATACCAATTGAAATGGAGAAAGAAGGTTAAAGAGCATGACAAACCTGCATCAAGTTCTTCTTGGTCAGTATCTATATCCACATACTCCTCCTCAGAAGTCTCGTCCTCGTTATCAATAGGACGGAGCTCTTCATCGTCCTTCGTCCTATCTCCGTTCGAGAGAGAAGGTTTGGCAGGCTTCTTTCCCTGTCTCCTAGCAAGCTCAGCTTTACGAGCAGCCATCATAGCGATCTGGACCGAGTGCTCAAACTGTAACTCTGAAAGACTCCTCACACCTATGGATTCATTGGCGGAAAGGAACCACTTGAAACTGAGGAAAGTAATCAACGGCTGGCGTCTATATGAAGGAAGAGCAAAGTGGGCTCCGGTGCAGCCCACCATAGTCCATAGCCATGCTCGTACGCCGTCAATAAGCCCTCCCTCAACCTTCAAACCACGGCTCGGATTCCCAACATATAGTTGGTCATAGCCGAACTGACGAGCAAAATGGCAGGGAAGGTAAGGCTCTATGTGGCAACGATTCTTCACCCGGAGAACGAGATACCCAACACGGATGTTCCTTAACCAGCGGAAATAACCAACGTCGAGAACAGTCTGATTACTTCTGGGTTTCTCCTCATCAATCAGCACATCACCATAGCGACCCGAAAAGTGAGGAAAACACTTGAAGAACTCCCAGCTCTTACAAACTTGAAGCTCTCGTTGTACATCACTGAATTTCTTCCCGAGCCATCTGCTCCTCTCCAACAGCTGTACGAAAGGAACGGGGACATCAACAACGCTGGACGCCGACATCAAGTCAGGACGGTGAAGAACAAGCCACGCCATCAGATACGCATAAGGAAGCTCGACCTTCGGACAAATAAGCTCGGTCGATGGCTCAGAACCTACCTGTGTAAAACTACTGACCAGACACCTAAGCCCGCAATGGATGCCAGCAACCATCACTGGGAGCAGAGAAAGCTCCCTCCCATAAGCTAGCTGAACTGCGGGGAAGAGCACCTCGAGAGGTAAGGCGTCTGAGAACTGGTACGGAACAACACATTTCTTCAACCAGAGGGCAAGATAGCCTGCTAGCAGAGTCCGGGGCTCAATGGACTTCTGTGCACGGCGGAGGAACGAACGAAACTTGGTTCCCGCAGGAAAAGCTCCCTTAGCACTGGCAATGGTGTAAGAACAAGCCTCAGCCTTCTCCATCAACTCATTAATGGCGGTAGGGGTCAAGACGTCTAACTCACGAAGGGGCTCGCCGGAATCACCCTCCAAATTCGGGAACAAATAGACAGCAAACTGCTTCAAGCTGATCTGCTTTTTCCTCTTCGCTGGAGGAGAAATCTTGATCAAGGAGGTATGATAATGGCAGGTGAGGTCCCAAAGAGTATCGTACATATCGGGAGTATCCTTCTTCAACCACTCCAACTGCTGGTTCGAGGGAAAGTACTCCTGGTATGGACAATCCACCATTGGAAGACCAGAAACCTGATACATCTCGTGTAAGGCCAACCCTAACTCTCCGCCGCTGGTCAGGAACGTGTTACTGTCGGGCATGTATGTCTCCAACAACGCAAAGAAATGGCGCCGGGAGTCCATACATGGTGGCTCGTATAGGGGCATACAATCCACTGCTCTTCAAATCCTTCTCCCAGCGCCCCAAGACGTAACTGGTCATGCGTGTCCACCATCCCTTGGGTAGTGAGAAAGCCCAACCATAGCATCTATAATCTAGTGGAGGTAATCTCCTCCCAAGATGAGCCAGACGGTTCTTCACGGTAGGAACGGCTGCTGATACCTCGCCTGGGGGTGCAGTATTAAGACCCGTAATCCCTGGTCGAAGCCCGCGGATGTAATGATACCCAGCAGAACCAGGAGTCTTATGATGAGAGGTATATCCACACTGAACTCGCTCAGCATCATCGGTAAGATGCCAAGACATCTGTCGCTCCACGGCTTGTCCCTCCAAATGAGTGAAAGAATACTGACGAGGATGGAGGGAAATATATAGGAGAGCTCCTTCGTCGAGAGTCAGCCAATGCTCCTCGATAAGAGTCAACGTAGCAGGATCCTCAGTGTGATCTCCGAACAGAAAACTGGGCTTCTTTAAAGCCTGAGTAGAAGTAGAATCTGCAGTAAAGGAAGCATCCGTAATCAGCTGGCGTAAGCAATGGCGCCCTCCATCCCGTATCAAACGACAGGATTCATCGGAGCGGTCTCTGTCGAACTGAGGTAGTGGACCAATGGCCTGCCCGATGGAAACCGAAGAGAAGACTTCCCCGCTACAACCAGTAGGGGCATGATGAGGGAGGCTGCCTGCGGGGAACTCGACTGCAACAAAATACAAGGATAGAGTCAGAAAATCCATCTCATAAAAAAGCGAGATAAGATCATTCACGGGATAATTGGGGAGATGATTTTGGGTGTCCTACACTGGAAGAACGGTATGCATCACCACGTAGATAACATGGTAACATACGCCGACCTATAAGGTGTAAGACGACACGAGATCGCCCCAATATACCAGAAGACTTGAATTGGCTAAGCAAAACAAGTCCGAAAACTCAACCCCCGTGAAGGAGGGTATCGGTTCTTCCTTAATGACCCGCGAAGGGATCAATCAGGGATACAAAAATAAAGATTCTCACCCCCGAAAAAGGAAACCGCTGGAGGGGAGGATGCTGTAAGAACTTCCTCCTCGCTAGGCTGCGAACGGGAGCGACTCCTAGGAGGTCGAGGTCGACGTGGAGCAGCAAGTCAGATACAATCTAAAATATGAATACACGAAATATAAAAGGGAAATTAAGAACTTGAACTAAAGTCCTATGAATAAATAGGATTTTATAGTTGAAGTCTAATTAAACCTACAAATTTCGTGCATGCGAAACAATGATTGTCATTTTCGCGGTAAATTTTGGTGAAATACCCAAAACACCCCTCGTGTTCAAGGCTAAATTCAGGTCAAGGACACGCTTGAGTTGGGTCATGGTCATCATATCTGATCAAATAACACACCCAATACCTCACAATTTTGGTTAATTTTGCAAATAAACCCTTTTTGTAAAATTTAGCCAATCTTGCAAATAGACCCCTCCACAAATTTCGGTTTAGTTTCCGCACACCTTTCTCAAAACTTTGGTCATAGGTTTGTGATCTAAACTTTTGAAATTTCAGTCCTGAAATTTTAGCCCTTTTGCAAATAAACCCCCTATACTTTGTGGGATTGCTCTTTTGCAAATAAACCCCTCAAACAACATTGAATCTTTCGCATACCAACACCTCTCAATTTTCGGCCAAAGGGGGATAAAATTTTAGTCCTAAATTTCAGTCCACTTTGCATAAAAAACCCTCAAATTTCAGTCCACTTTTGCATAAAAGCCCCCCAATTTCGGCCATATGGCAAGTTTTGCATAAAACCCCCAAATTTTGGGTTCATACTCACAACCCATCATCAAAAGCCTATCTTTTTCATGAAATCCAACCCATGAAGACAAAAAGACATGATCTTGGCATGAAGCTATAATCTTTTCAAAAAGGAAGAGAAAGTTTTGAGAGGGAACTTACCAAATCAAGAAGCTTTTCCTAGAGCTTGAAGGTGATGAAACCCTAGATTTGAGAGGAAGAAATTTTTCGGCCAAGAAGAACACCAAAATCCAAAATTTTGTATGGGTTTGGAGAAGGAAACAATGGTGGAGGGATGAAAGGAGGAAGAAAGAGTTTGAGAGGGAAAGGGAATCTCTTTTGAAAATATGGAAAGAAGGGGGAAAACAAAAGAGGAAATAAAATCAAAACAAGAAAGAAAGCAAAAGAGGAAACAACAAAAAAAAAGGGGGGGGAAAGTCTCGGTTTTGGCCAAGACACCCTAAGGGTGTCTCGGCCAAACCGAGACACCCCAAGGGTGTCTCGGCCAAGTTGAGACACCCTTGGGTGTCTCAACCCAATTCGAGCCCCCCGAACCTTTTTTTCGAGTCCGAATTTACCTATTTTCGTCAGTTATTGGATATTTTTACGAAATCCACACTAATCAATACCGAGCAATTCGTAACCCTAGGTCAACGCCAGTCAACGTGTTGCGACCAAAAAATCAACGTTCGACGTTTGAAACCCTAGGGTTAACGTCGGTCAACGCGTAACCCTAGGTCAACGCCAGTCAACGCGTTGCGACCAAAAAGTCAACATTCGACGTTCGAAACCC